ATTGAATTAAAAGATGAATTGTAAATTCGTAAAACATTTACTTACTAACTTATTTGCGTAATCTTCTACTTTAGCGTAACCAACTTTTTTCATCGACGCCTCCCTGTAGATGAACTACTTCATGCTCCTCCACAATTTCGTCAATCTGCCGAAGACGTTGACTTTCGCGATTTACCCAAGCCATCTAAGTATGCGTAAAAGTATTAGGTTATAATTACAAACTGCAAGTAAAAATAATGTGACCACAAAGCTTCATCGACTAGTCACAGACGGTTGTAAATTGAAAACTAGCTCTAACCATTCAAGTAACAGTAATCAGATTTTAAATTTGTGATAGCCCTGAGATAATAAAGCATGCACATAACCTATACGAAGCTTCAACTATGTTATTAAAATAACAGAATCAAACAAAATAAAAGTTTGTAAGATCCAAATCAAATATGTATATTTCTATTTACTATTTTGTTTTACTTAAACTACTACCTTACCTCAAAAAACTAAAAGATTTTTGTTGACGAGAAAAAAGAGCAGGAGATGATGAAGCGGCAGCGAGAAAGAAAATGGTTAAGTGAGCGAGCTCGAAGTTCATTATCGGCAAAACTCCTCGGTTTACCAGTCTAGACGATTATGCTTACATACGCCACCTACGGGGAAAACTGACAAATTATTAAAAGTACACAGCCCTTGAACAAAATGATCAGTTACAAGTTATCTTGAGAACGAACAACTGAAATTCATATAAGTTTAAAGCATTACGAGTTTTAACAAGTATTGTAGTTTAAGTTGGAACAATAATTTTATTTGTCAAAGTTCAAACAGAACTAAACAACTGTCCACAGAGAGTAGTTGTAACAACAACTATAACTCTACTGCCTAAATGAATAATATCCAACAAACCAACAACCAAGTTGTAACAACAACAACTGACTGACTGACATAGCAGATAGTTGATGCGTGTCCAGGCAGTCTAAAACATCATAGCAGATAAAAACAAACCTGTAAAAACGCTCAAAATCTGAGATTTTGGTTTTAAAAGATGGCCATAACTTAAAAAAGCCTTATCTTTTAAAATGATGCAGATAGGGCAAAATAAGCCTCAATTTAGGATCATCAATAGTAACAAATTTTTTTTTTTTTTTTTCGAATCACGCCTCT